TTCTTTGAACATCTCCTTTGAATGTAACTGGAGCTTTGCTCTCTTCCAGCTATCTGTTAAACCCTTACACTGTGATGTCTTGCGTGGCCAAGTCCACCTGCGCCATCAACAACTCTGTCATCGCATTCTTCATTTTAGCTACAATAAAAGGTAACACAATGAAGAAAAACTGGTTCCTTATGACTTTTTGTGATTATTAGGGGGCCGGTTAGCTCATCAGTAGAGCGTAGCGCTAACGACACTGAGGTCGCATGTTCGATTCCCATTCGGTCCCCATGTGTTGCCTGATCTAGTCAAGAGGTGACGTCCCTGGCGACAGGGAGGCTGGATTAAAATGATCTCTAAGGTCCCTTCCAGCCTAGGCCATTCTGTGATTCTATGATTAGAAAAGCAGCAGAAGTTAAGTCAAGGTGGAACTTTACGTATATGGTTGCTACAGAGATCTGAGTGAAACACAGCAGAAATGGGACCGAAGCAAGGGCAAAGTCCTCCCTGAAATCACGAGACTGAGAGACCTTGTAGTCGAGTCAAAAGTTACTTTCACCTCAGGGTACCTAGGAGTTTCGTCTCTAAAAGCTGACTCCTTTTCCTGGATGACTGGTTATGAAAAAATGCGTGTCTGGGTGTGTAGTACAACGTTAATGCTCTGCTGCTTTTTCTTCTGTACATGAATATGCACTTGAAGTGTTGTATACAATTTGTTTTCAAAGTGTGTCTTTGAGCTTTTATTCAGAAGCAAGCAGCTGCCTGCAGCTGTGATTTGGCTTTCCCTCACAGTTGTAAACTCGGTTTGAGATGAGCTAATTGAATTTTGGGGAAGCAGAAACAGTAACCAAAGACCCAAACCAGCACAGCTGAGTAGATTATGGCAGAAGAGCTGGTTCATTCAGGTTTCTTGCTGTCTAAGCTGTATTTTCACAGATGGCTTCCGTCAAGTGACATAAGACTGAAGACTATAGCCAGGCTACTGCACTGGGTGCTTGTATTTTTATTGTTTAACGTGGGACCTTTTAGACTTGATTTCAGGTGTTGGTAGCTGCGCAACGTGAGTAGGCAGCACTCAGCTCAACCCGAAACACCCCAGATAAAGTTTCTTCCATGAGGCATTCGTATTTGTAAGAGCACTTAGGAAAGCTCGGCTAATCCTTTCTGTGCCTCAGTTTTGGTACCTGTGAGCAGGGCTGGTGTCCCTTCATCCCTTTGGCTGCAGACCTCCGCTTGCTCTCTTGCACAGAGCTTTGCTGAGGGCCCTGGCACGTTCTGGTGACGAGGTTATCCAGCCTGCCCAGAGTAACAGCTGTTTCATGTGGATGTGACTTCAGCAAATGCATTCCCGTGCATAAAGAGGAGCCAGCGTGGTCTATATATAAACTGAATTGCGTGAATCTCTTTCTGGATGTGAACGATAGGAGATCTAAGCGAGTCAGCCGTTCTTTCCTGTGGGAGAATCGCCTTGGTATGAGTCATTCTCCATTCAGAATATAGTTAAGAAAAGCGTACTCTTCCGAACGTATTCTGCTAAAAGGGCCTTTACGTGGTGTTCAGATATTTGTGAAGCCCCTGCAGGGAGTTAAGCATTTCTTCCCGTTTGGATTTGCTGTCTGTAAGGCTGTTCATATTAAGTGTTCCTTACAAACGAACTTTTTTTTTTCTTTGCAGGTAGTGCCTTCCTCAGTGCTGTGTTCCTAGCCTTAGCAACGTACCAGTCGCTCTACCCGCTCACATTGTTTGCTCCAGCACTCCTTTACCTTCTACAGGTAGATGACTTCTGACTGTTTGTACCTGTTGTCTGCCCGTACATGTGCAGGAACAGTCCTTAGCTGTTGAGAGGGGAGTTGGGCAAGTTTCAGAAAAGGCAGTTCTCCTGAAGCCGCGGAAAGTTTAAAGCCTTCATGGGGTGCCTGTGCATAGAGAGAAGGGAGCCAGAAAGTCATCCACTAAACTGGCTGGTATTTAGCTTGCCCGAAATAAGTGCTATTCTTTGTGTCGTGTGAGTAGCAGTGAGGATTTTAGACCTGGAGAATTTCCTTTGCATTGCCGTGGATCACTAAGCTGTGTTTGGCTGAGGAGCTGTGTGTTCGAGTCACTCAGAAATGCTGATTTGGAGTTCAATGGCAAAAGGCAAGGAGGGCTTCTAAAAGTGGCTGGGTGCCCTTGGCCTTTCTGCTTCCGCATTAACAGGATCCCTGAAGGTGATGGGTGCCCAGTGCCTCAGCAGACAGACACTGTTGCAGGCAAAACTAGCCCAGCAGCAGCCCTGGGGGGCACGTGCGCGGGCAGGGGCAGGGTTTAAAGCTGAGGCAGCGCTTTGCCAGTGGGTGGATTCCTCGCTGGCTTGCCTGCATGCTTCCCACTTGTCTCTGTCTTAGCTCTTGTGCTGGTACCGCAAAGAATGATGTAACCCAGCGTCCAGATTAAAATGCACCTAATAAAAACTGATCATTTGCTAGTCTATATGGGAGTGAGGGGAGACGGTGACCATTAGCAGAGGACACTTAACCTCGATTCACGGATCATTTGCCATTATTTTGCCATTCCGAAAGTCCTGTCGTTGAGTGTTTCTCCAGTCTTTCTTGGTTGCTTCTGCCCTGTCTCCCTCATGTATTTACAGCTAGTCTTAACTACAGGCTCATTACAGCCTATTCTCAGATCTCTTAACTGCAAAAGAGAATGGAGAGTCAGTTCTAGTCCATTTTCTTTCCCTGACTATCTGACATGAACGTCTCTTACTTCTTCCAGAAGTGTCATTATTGTTACTCTTTGCAAGACAAAAACTTCTGCAGAGTCAGTGTTGCTTTTCCAGTTTGATAATTTTTAGGAGCATTTGCTTTAGATGTGTTATATTTTGACCTCATTTGTTCTCTTTTAAATTTAGTCAAAGTAAAGGGGCAGTAAAGTACAAGCACTGAGTTCACAAACAAGAAGTGTTCTTATATATGAATGCCTAATTTGCTTTTAAAGGGGATCATACTAGTTCTTTAATCTAGATTTGTAAACGGACCTCCCTGTGTTCTTTGTACAGAATTAAAAAAAAATTTCTCCAGCACTTTCCAACCTGACCTGCCAGAAATCATCAGTTAACTTGCTTACATTGTTCCAGCAACACTACAACTGAGAAAACAGAGCACGCTTTACTCAGAGCTCACACCACATGTCACGTTGGGTGACAAAAGCTTGTGTTTCACCTGTCAGGACGTGTGGCGCTGGCAGGACTGCAGCGCAGAAGGAGGAGGCAGCCTTCTTTGTGCTTAGGGAACCCTCTGGAGGTCCTCTTGCCCTGACTGCAGCAGAGCACGGGTGCCAGTCCCCAGAGGGGGAGACCTGCCGTCGTGAGGTGGCAGGGCCCTCGGTCACTGGCTGGTGCGGGTTCAGCGCAGCAGAAGGCAGCCAGCAGTGCAGCACTGCAAAACACCCAAGATACGAGCGTAGCTGTGAGGTGTGTGTAAATCTTACACTGAGTGCGTGAGGCTGACTGGCTGCGAGCAGACCTGACCAGCTTAGCTGCTGTGTTTTCAACTGCAGCTCTGAAAATATGTGCAACGTGTACGGCTTGATTGGCCAGAGTGAAGAACATCAAGCAAATTGTGCTTGAGAACTGTTCCTGCCAGTGATGTAGTGCCAGTGTTTGGTGCTTTCGTTAATCGATTTAAAATGCTACTCTGAATACTCAGACTTTCTTGTAGCTTCCCACCTGATGAGGGGTATCTGCCTGCTTGTGTTTCATTTCCAGCGTCAGTTCATCCCAATAAAACTGAAAAGTAAAAGCTTCTGGCTCTACACCATGCAGTATGCAGCCCTGTACCTGTGCAGCCTGGTGGTGATCATCTGCCTCTCCTTCTTCCTCCTCAACTCCTGGGACTTTATCCCATCTGTTTACGGGTTTATGTAAGTACACAGATTCTTACTGGTTTTTCTATCTAGCCCCAACTGTGTTATTTCTTGTGCGTCGCACACAGGTGCCTCACCCCCTGTGCTAAGGAGCGTGCCACCTGTGATTTTACTGGCAATACAAGACAAGAATGCGGAGGAGAGCACACATTAGGCAACTTCTGTTAATTAACAGCAAGAATTAGAGAAGACGAGAGATGTTTTCCACTGAGTTGATTAGAAATGCATTTGATCGTTGAGCTACCAGGCTGTAAAATTTTTATCTCTGCAGGAATGTCTGCTTGGGAACGGTTTAAATTCTGCTGGGGTGTAGGGATTGATTAGTCCCTTTTCTCTCCAGGTTTTCACCCCTTTGATTTCTCTTCCACAGCTTTAAAATATAGTTGGTCTATCCAGTAGCACACAATGATTAATTACTATAACCAAAGCAAGGCAGTGAAAAACAAGCATTTTAAAATGTTATCTTGACTTTTCTTTTCAAATTTCAGCCTTTCAGTTCCAGATCTGACACCCAATATTGGCCTTTTCTGGTACTTCTTTGCTGAGATGTTTGAACACTTTAGTCTTTTCTTCGTCTGCGTGTTTCAAATCAATGTCTTCTTCTACACCATTCCCTTGGCAATAAAGCTAAAGTAAGTATGCTTCTCTGCTAGTTCTTTTTATTCTCAGTTGTCCTGTGGAAGCTTATAAGGCTGGCATCAGATGCCTGGAAAAAAAAAGACTTGTTTTTTTTAGCAGGACCTATCCTCCTCATTTCGCAAAGTTTCACATTTTATTTCTCTTCAGTAGAGTGAGTTGGGTTCTGCTGTGCAGCAGATGTGTTATGGGCATTGAAAGAGAGAGCAGAAATTTAGGCTATAGATGTGCCTGCTCCTTGCCAGCAGAATCCGGTGTAGTCAAAAAGCAAGAGCTTGTGCCTGGAACTTCAAGTTCTTTATTGTTGTTGGGCAACAAAGCTGGTGAAGGGCCTGGAGAATAAATCTTATGAGGAACGACTGAGGGAGCTGGGTCTGTTCAGTTTGACCAAGAGGAGGCTGAGGGGGGATCTCCTCATGCTCTACAGTTACTTGAAAGGACGTTGTAGAGAGGTTGGTGCTGGTCTCTTCTCACAGGGAATTAGGACAGAACCAGGGGGAATGGTTGCAAGCTACAACAGGGCAGGTTTAGGCTGGACATTAGGAAGAAATTCTGAAAGAGTGGTCAGACCCTGGAACAGACTGCCTGGGGAGGGGGTTGAGTCGCCATCCCTGGAGGTGTTCAAGTGTCGCTTAGATGTGGTGCTGGGTGATGTGGTTTAGGGGTGAGCTTGTAGTGTAGAGTCAGTGGTTGGACTCGATGATCCCAGGGGTCTTTTCCAACCTGAATGGTTCTATGTTTGTCAGATATCGTCAGAGTTCCTAGTGGACTGTGCTGACAACATGACCCTTCTTGCTCATAAAAACACCCATAAATACGCTTGGATTCTCAGAGAGCTCATCCTGTTGACTCGCAATGTATATCGACGTCATGATGTGCCAGTGGGATAACTATGGGCTTCTCCAAATAACCTTCAGAGAGGAGGTGCTGATTGCTTTCTGGTGGATATGACAGAGCTGGGGAAGAGCAGCCCAGGTGACCAACCTTATAAATAAATGTTGAGTTGAGGCACGAGGTTTCTGTGTGAGGGTGGCGGACAAATGTGCGTTCTTTATACTGCTGCTCAATCTTCGCAGCCCAGCATTCAGAGGCTTGTTTGGAGAGAACAGGAGTGCAAGAGCCTTTTTGAGCTTATCCCACGGTACATTTGCGCCCTTGCTGATCTTTATATCCAGTTTCCAGAGACCCTACTGCGTTCTCTTATCCTTTGTGCCTTTTCACTTCTAGGGAACACCCCGTGTTCTTCATGTTTGTCCAGATGGCAATCATTTCTATCTTCAAGTCCTATCCCACTGTGGGAGACATTGCATTGTACATGGCCTTCCTTCCAGTCTGGAGCCACCTTTACAGATGTAAGTCCTTGGCATTTGATTCTTCCTCATCTGGAATGCGAAAGGGCCTGTCCCGTAATTGTCACCACTAAACCGAACCAGGCACGTGTCCACAGGCAGTTGTTCCCTCCTTGGGAGTGTCTGGAAGGAGGCTTGATTTTTCTGGTGAGGCAGTCCCTAATGTGTCTTTAGGACTAGGATTGAAGTTGGTCAAGGAGGCAATTTTCACTTGTACCTTATCCTCCCCCCTCTCTCCAAGTTGTTCTGAAGATTAACTTTTTTTGTAAGAACCTTTTACAGTCCTGCAGCAGGGATGTGGCTTATTTAAAGCATCCTTCGAATGCTTCACTCCTGTTTAAGGCTGTGTAATTTGAATGCTGCTCCTGCCATTGGGGAGTCCCCCAGCCTTAAAATCCTGCACCTTGCAGTGCTTTTTTGTTTTGCCTCTGGTTGTTTGCTTAGAGTGAAAATAACGGAATTACTCCAAACAATTGTCCACTTTTTCTTACGTGCTTCATAAGAACCTCTTGAGCTCTTTAAATTACCAGCGAGCTTCCTGACGATTTTCAAACCCAGCCTCTAGAACCCACTGCACTGGGGAGTTTTGGAAGCATTATTGTTTTTACCAATGTTTCTTGCTCGAACCAGCCTCTTTCGCCAACCCTGCCAGGTTATCCAGGCCTTTTACTGCAGCCTTCTGTAACCCAGGCCGAGAGTGTTTATGGACAGCCAGCCTGCCTGGTGTCAGGAGACAGTCAGGAGTCCAGAGACTTGGAGACCATCTGCTCTATTAGTTTCAGACAAAGGGAAGCTGTGATAAAATAGGGCGGGAGGCCCCAGGCTAGCCCAGAGCATGTTGCAGTGTAGCAGGTGACGTACTTCCGAGAAATCCCGATGTAGCGTAGTTGAGTTGCGCAGTTCCAAGCGCGCAGGTGAGGGGTCTGTGACCAGTGAGAGCGCCAGTCAGCAGTCACATGCTTCCACTTCAGAGTGAGTGAATAGACCTGCTTAACAAGAGGTTTGGAAAGATGAAGTGTGAAGGGGTTTGAATGTGACAATGCTCTTAAAATGTCAGCTGGCTCCCTTTGGCTGCAGAGTGACCGGAGTCTTTCAGGGCCGTTGACTGAGCTGTAGCCAAACACAGCAGCGCAAGTGCTGGGCTGAATTATAATACTGCTCCCAAAGGACAGCCATAAGGAGTTCACAGGAAACAAAATCTCTTCTGGCCGTGTAGTTCCTAGCTCTTTTAGACAAAGTTATGTGTGTTGTTTGTCCTTCTGACACGTACTCACACACACTAGTGAATTTTGATCACACTTGCTCCTCCTGAAGCCAGTGGTCAATGCTTTCGGCCTCTATGAGTTTCCTCCTTTTATGGTGCTTTCAGCTTCTTACCACCTCCCGAGAAAGTATCACTTTTCCATATGGCCCACGGGTTCATATTATTCCTTTGTCATCAGCTTGACGAGGCTGGGCAGTGATGGGCTCTGCTCTCCGAATCGTGATTCTGCTGAAAGGCCCTTCCCAAGACTGCTAGTTGCTGTAGTGTAGACACCAAAAAGTCAGAGTCCTTGGAGGAAGAGTGCTTGGAAACAAGACCTGGAAGGGAGGAGCTACAGATGAGGATTTCACACTCAAGCAAAGGCGGAAGTATTGTTTTTAAAGGGAAATATAGGAGATTTCTTATACAAATTGTCCAGGAAATTATTAAACCAAACTGTAAAAGATTATTGGAGAGAAGTCTGTGCTGGCAAGTGCCGCTTCCCCACTGCACATGCTCTAATACCATTCCTGGTTGCCTGAGCGTGGCTGCTCAATAATGCATCGTTTTAACGGCTTGGTTCTCTCTCGCAGTCCTCCGGAACATCTTCATCCTCTCGTGCGTGCTCATTGTCTGCTCGCTCCTGTTCCCCGTTCTGTGGCATCTGTGGATTTACGCAGGAAGTGCCAACTCCAATTTTTATTACGCCATCACGTTGACTTTCAACATAGGGCAGGTTAGTAGAGCGAAGCAAACAAGGCCACGCTTTGGGGTGGTCACTGGGTCGGGCAGCCTGTCAGCAGCAGTGAATTCTGGAGAGTGGGTCTGGCTCCTTGCGTACAGCTGGAGTCCTGCAGGCCAGCTCCCTGCCGGCCAGCTCCCTGCCTCTGCTTGCTCCGGCTGAAATCTGCCTAGTCCTCCCCTTCTGACGCTTATCCCCACTACCCTCAGCTCTTTCTTTTCCCATTGAGACATCTGCAGAGAAGTTTAGTTAAAAGCAAAATCAACCGTATTGATCCACCATGTCAGTAGTCAGCCCCAGTGTTCAGCAAAACAGGTGGACAGAGTAAGCGTGGATGTTTCCATTCGCCCTCGGCACCTCTACCCTTCTCCGTCTGTTCTCCCTCACACTTTTTGCTCTGACCTCAGCAGCCTGCAGCCCTGTTTGTCTTTCTTTTGCCCGGCCGCTGAGCCTTCCCTGCAGCAGCTGTACGTCAGGAACCCAAGCAGGCTCTGGCTGACAGCCTGAGTTTCCCTCCCTTTGTCCCTGTAGCGCTGCAGCACACTTCAGCTGAGGCGTTGTGCCAAAGCCATGTGCTCTGTGACATCTGGACATTAGGACACTGGCTTCTAGCTTGATCCGGCACTGGAATGGTTTTCCACTCTAGTTCTGTGGTGCTGTTTCAAGATGGGGGAGGTCAGCATCCCTGGGGAAGGACCGCACTACGAGAGGTTAAGTGACAAGCGGCACTGCCGAGGCAGCTTGTCCGAGGTGACCACTGAGACCCACTCCTGCCTTCCCAGTGCCGCCAGGCAAGGGAGCAGCCACGCTGCAGTGCCTCAGTCCCACCAAAGTGGGGCTGAGGGTGGGGGGGACCTTGCGATTTCCGTGTCGGGTTTCCGCATTCCCTGTGGATCTTGGCACTGAAGTTGTGAATTCACACTCCCGCGCGGCCGGTGGCAATACCAGCCTAAGGTGCACCCATCTCCCCAGCGAAACGGGACAGTGCCAGTGCTTCTGCGTGCGGCAGCATGCTCTGACCTGGATCACGGGAGAATCCGGGGGATAACCACCTCGGTTCACCAGTTAAAGGGGACAGTGTTCGTGGGGTTGCTGCCCCACAAAGCGGGCAGGGCAGCAGAGGGGCAGGAAGGGGCTGCAGGGGCGATGGTGTTGCTCTTGGACATTAGACTCTGAAGCCACAGCCTTGACATTTCAGCTCTTCACCCCTTAGACTGGTACGTATTATTTTGTTAAGCTGCTGAAGCTGCTGTTCGCTAGGGCTGACCCAGGGAGCTGAGGTATCCCTTCTGCTGCCTGCAAGCTTCTTAAGCTTCCTGAGTAGAAATATATAGAAAAAGAGTCACAGCTGAAAAGTGCTTCATGGCAAACAGCAGCCAAGACTTTGAACATTCAGGTTGAACTGCCTGACAGTGCATGCATGGAAGGAGTCCTGAGGGTGAGGATGCTCTGGAAAGGTGTGGCATGGCTGGAACCTGCCATTTTCATGTATTTTGACCAGTTTACAGAGCTGCTGCATCCATAGTGGAGATGTCCACGAGAACAGACTGGTAACACCACAAATAGCTTATATAAAGTCTCCTTTGGTTTAATGCTGCAAGAGAATGGACACGGCGCGTTCACAGTGCCTCCTCTCGCAGAGCATGAACAGCCTCAGAAATTCTTAAACCCCTTCAGGGTCTGTCACAAACACGTCCCTTTCTATTCCTTGTTGTGAAGCATCACTGATGTGTCTGAATGTCTCACTCTTGCAGATCCTGCTCGTCTCGGATTATTTTTATGCCTTCCTCCGGCGGGAGTACTACCTCACTCACGGACTCCACTTGACAAGGCAGGATGGCACAGAGGCCATGCTTGTTTTGAAATAAGGATCACGCCCACCATTCCCTGGTACATGGACCACTCTAAGGAACGCGCAAAGCTTGGGGTCTGTGGGGTGGGACGGGAAGGTTCCCTGAATGAGGACTGACTTTGGGAATGATACCTACTGAAAGAAAGGGCTGAAGTTCTTCTGGGAATACCCTCCTGAGCCGCGGGCTCAGTGCAGAGACTAAGAGCTACACGTAGGAGCTGCAGTGCCTCCGTTGAGCATCTCCCTTCTTCCCTCAGCTGTGCTTTTCACTGCGGCCTCAGCCATCAACTCTGGGCAGTCCAGCCAGAGCTGGAGAGAGTGAGCTAAACCCAGGGCCAAGTCTCTGGCCTGGGAAGAGCTCAGATCATAAACTATTGACTTTACTATCACTGCTTCTTGGAGATACTTGCTTCTCCTGGAAATGTCCCCTTCACTGCTTTGACCCGTAGCGCTGCTGCTTGGCACAAGGCGATCCATGGGTACGTGGTGCCTAGGCCCTGGCTGCAGATGCTGTCCCTTGGTTCTCCTGCTGTTGTGGGGTCTGGAAGAATCACCAAGGGTGGGTACCGGGTAACTGCTGTATCCCACGGAAGCCACACAGACACTTCCATGTCAGGAGCTGCACAGAGGCATCGCCGGGGCTCAGAAGAGGGAACACAGCTGTGGAGACTCCTGCTGCTCCTTGTTTCTGTAGGATAACAGCGCCTGGCAGTGCAGGGCTGGAAGGAGCAAGTCCGGAAGGGGACTCAGCCACCGCTGTTGTGGGGTTCCACAGCTGCTTAGCACTAGGGGGTACCTGCATCCCGTGGTACCCACTCGCAAGTACAGCAGGGGAAGCTTGTGGCTGCGCGTGGAGGACTCCATCAAAACGCTCCCCCTTGGTTCCTCCCTGGCTCCTCTCTGTGCCCAGACCTCCTCACTTCAGAGCTGCTGCCGCTGCTGACCCTGTGAATGTGACCCACTGGGGCAAATCCACCGGGCTGGCACCTTGCTCAGCTGCTCGTGTCTTGGCGCTGGGAAGGGGTAACCACAGTGTGGAAGCCTTCTCCCTCGTGCTGGGGCGGCAGGCAGCTGGCGTCACCACGGGCCCCAGAAAAACCTGACTGGGACTGGGACAAAGTTGAAACCAAATGGCCCCTGCTATGGAGCGGCTGAGACCGACGTGCCCAGGCAGTCGTGTCAACAGCTCTTCTTTCTTTCTGGACAATTGAAACTTTTGCCTTACTGCACTGCTGTTCGCGCTTTGGGGAGGGGGGTTTAGTCGGAGCCCAGTCCCATGCTTGGCCATTCTGGCCAGGACTGCAGCCCCGTGGTGGGGGCGCAGGGAGGCAGGGGGGCTGCTCCGGGGCATGTCAAGGAGCGTAATAAACTCTGCAAGTTTTAAACACCCCGTGTGTGCTCTGTGTTTGGGAGATGGGTGAGGAGGGGGTGAGGGGACTAGAGGTGAGTGGGGGCTCTGAGAGGCACAAGGAGGGGTCGTGAGGGGACTTGGAAGCAAACACAGGGATCAGGAGGAAAAGCCGCTGGCCCTGGAGCACGCCTCTGGGGCACTCTGAAACCCGCTCCACTTGTGGGAAGGCAGCTGTGCCCAGTTCAACTGCACAGCAGTGGAAAGGAAAGCGATTCGAGGGTGAGTACCTGGGGCTGTCGGGGCTATCCATTTTATAGCCCTCTCTCTTCTGCCAAAGTAGAAAATAATTTCACACATCAGGAAGGAAACGATGGTGAGAGAGCAGGGACAGAATCGGGGCAGGGCTTTGGAAGGGGCAGGAGCTGGAACAGGGTCAAGGACAAGGCAGGGGTTGGGTAAAGGACAGGGACAGGAGGCAGTGCCACCCCTGGCAAGCAGGGATGTGGGAAGAGCAGGGACAGGCGTTGATGCAGTAGCAGGGACGGTGCAAAACCAAGCGCAGGGACAGGGCCAGGAATGGCTGCCCTGCAGCAGCTCAGGCACTGACCGGGTGCTCCATTCTGGGTCCTGAGGTGCATCTCAGGGGAGCC